AGAGGCGTTCCACATAGCTGGTCATGCAGGAAGAGCAGCAAGAGCGGGGGAAAGTTTGTTTCTTGTAATGCAGCTACTGTAGTGGAGGATAATGACTGTTTTCCCCTCATAACTGCACAAATAATATCAAATTAAATGCAGAAATCTGAAATTAAAACCTTTTTATTTTGGACCCAGCTACCTGTTAAATTTAACGTTTAAATGACAAAGTTCTCCACTTTGCTAAAACCCCCGAAATGTCAAACCTTTTCCTTATACATATTCAAAAATACCGAGTTACTGAAATAACTGTAGCATCTTTTTTTTTTCTCTCTGACTCCTGCTTCAACCTGACTCTTCCGCTGTCTGCGCTCTCACTCTGCGCCGGTCTCACTCGTGGCGACGTGGCGGGGAGGAAGCCGAGCAGACAGACAGAAGCGGTGACATCTGTCAGTGGCAGCAGAGTGACGGGAGGCAGAAAACGAGAGACAGGAGAGGCACGGAGCGAGAATCACTTTTTCCCCCCATTCTCACCTTTCAGCTTCCCATTAGCCGACAGCGAGGAACTAATGAAGGAGCAGTATGATAATCTGTTGTTCTCCCGTTCTCCGTGCCCTCCACTGTCCTGTCAGGCCTGGGGAGATGTGGGAGGGTGACAGAGCTGTCACAGCGTCGGCAAGGAGGGATCTCTCATTGTAAACGTCTCTATGGTTTTTGTTGTTGTTGACTTATTGTAGATGAACTTGTGTTGTTGCTTCTCCAGAGCACCATTATTGTCATTGACTGCATTAATGTCGTTTAAAGGAGACACATGATGCTTTCAAATCCTCCTTTTTCACATTGAAATCATTCAGCTGGTGTCTGTATAAAGTAGAATTGTAATACGTTGGTCTGAATTCCTCCTTATTGTAACTCCACAAGCCCCTCTTTCACTCCTTTTCTGAGGTTTGTCTCTGATCAACTTGTTTTGAGGCTGTCTCTTTGAATCTGAATTAGGGGCTATACAACAAAAAAACAAATCAAATTAAATGAAAGGTAGTAGAAGAAGAAAAAAAATCTTGTGATTTCTGCCCCTTTTTCTCAATAAATAAATTCAATCAAAAAATCTTCAATTTAAAATGTAAAAATTTTTTTTAAAGAAAAACAGATTTAATTCCTTCTTGAGTAACAATCCGTGCCTTATACTCATACGTATTTCTCCAACAGATTTACCTTTATCATTTTCTTAAATATACACATTGATCAGCCATTTTTAACGCTATCTTCTAGATCAGTGGTTCCCAAAGTTGGGGTCGGGACCCAAAGTGGGGTCCTGAAACATCAAGGTGGGGTCCTGAAAAGATTTTCCTATATTAATTACATTTTTGCCTTAGTTGCCTAAAATGTATAGAATAATAAATATTGTTACTGTGCCCATGTTTAGTTGACCTGATACAAATGTTTATCATCCAAAAATAGTTGTGGGCACAGGTCTCTGCTGCTGTTATTTTGTGGGTCAAAAGCTGAAAAGTCTGGGAACCACTGCACTTCATAAATCAATTTAAAGGGTAATAAAATAATTGGTGATGTAATATTTTTGCTATAATTATTACAAAAACACAAAATAAGTATAAATAAGTATTTATATTTGTGTAGCCTTTGTGTTTAGGTTTATTAACAAAGTTTGTGTACTCAGACCAGTAATATTTGGGGTCACAAGTTTTTGCAATGAATAGTTTGTGGGTCAGAAGATAAAAAGTTTGGGAACCACTGTTCTAGATTATTCCATAATTTAATTCCCTGGACTGAAGTACTCCGTTCCTTTAAACTGGTTCTAACTTTAGGTTTGACAAACATTTCTGTCCCCTTCAAATTGTAACAACTCTCTCTTTTAACAAAACGTAATTGGATGTTTGAATATAGCAGTGCAGAAACAGGAAAACGGAAGACCTGTCCATCCATCCATCCATCCATCCATCCATCCATCCATCCATCCATCCATCCATCCATCTTTAAAGCCTTGTCAAACAATAACATTTTAGACAATTTATCCCAATTTATGAAAAGTTTGTCCAACTCTAAATATGTCTAAGCTGAAGTTGGAGTTCAAAAACATCTCCTGAAAGCCTCTTTTCGAACTATATATACTTTAATGCTAACAATTAAATCAAATATAGAGCTGTTTTGAGTAAAATAGTCTAAAAAATACTCATACGTCGGCATAAGTTGTAAAACATTGTAGTTACATGTTACAGAGTCAGAGGAGAATAAAGAAGACCAAATTTTAAGTAAGTCCAGACCTTTTATTAAATATTCCGTAGCAAATAATTTTGACATAATAGTTCAGAAAACATCATAGAAAATAGAGAAAACTGAAACGGGCTGCGAAATATGACTCAAACAGAATGTAAAGATATCTAAACAGAAGAGACTGAACTAAAGCTTTCTGCACTCTTGGAGACTCCAAGGTGCACAACAAAATGCATTTAACAGCTAAAAAGTGTATTTTTCATGATATGTTCCCTATTAAAAATAAAAAAAGATGGCCACTACTCCACATTAGGTGCATTTATAGTAAAGTGTTGTGTTGTTGTAGTAAGTTCAATCAAACGTTGCTCTGTAGGGTCGGAGTGAAGCGAGAGAATGACAGATTGATAAAGCTGTGAAGTGAGGCGCTCCCCGGTGGAACTTCCTCTCAGATAGACGGCCAGATCAGAGAGCCGGCTTCATGACCTGCGTCCGGTCCGGTTTGGAGTTCACCTTGATTTAATAAACACCTAGACCCGACAAGCGTGGGAGGAGGGGGGGGGGGGGCACGCCACGCCATCTCAAACGTAGCCTCGTTGCTCAAAAAGAACAAACCTTGACTGATGTTTGGAAACGTGATTACGAAACACGTATTTGTGAGGAAGTGTTCGTGTCCGGAGCGGAGCCCTCCCCGAGTGTCTCACAGGTGCATCTCCGCTCCGCTGGCCCGCTGGCCCGCTCCGGACCCAGATTTACGGCCTTGACACAGGAATCCATTAAAGGCTGTTTAGGGATCCCAGGCCCCAATCTCTTTCATTATAGCTCCAAGCTAGCATGGAAGGGGAGCAGATCGGCCAATCAGCAGCGGCGCCACATGTGTTTATGTTTAGCCTGATGGCTGAGAGGCTTAAGTGGCTACTGCACACATCTCCTTCACTGACTTTTATGGAAAAAGTGGCACTTTAACTCTTTGTATTTTTGTGTGCGTGCGTGCGTGCGTGCGTGCGTGTGTGTGTGTGTGTGTGTGTGTGTGTGTGTGTGTGTGTGTGTGTGTGTGTGTGTGATGAGGCTGGAAAGTCTTAGCGCGGGGAAGGTGTGACGGCCGGGGGAGAGGAGAAGAACGGCAATTAGGGATTTTCTAAAG